TCTGATTTCATTCACCATACATTAGTTTTGCACAAATGAAATGAACTATCCTATTTTTCTCTGTGTCAGGCATCTTTTGCTCAGAAATGATTGAGATTCTTCTATGTAGAGTGTGCACTGCTTGGCTCTGAATGTCAAAAGATCTCTCTGATTTTCTATTTCCTTTCTCTTCCTTTTACACATTGAGTCTCCACCTGTAGTAGATCGTGATCTCTTTCACGGAGGGTCAAACAACCCTTTCACAGGGGTCACTTAAGACCATCAGAAGACACTTTTTTAAAAAAATTACAATTTATAACAGTAGCAAAGTTATAAAGTAGCAAGGAAAGTAATTTAATGCTTGGGAGTCATCACAACATGAGAAACTATCATACAGCATTAGGAAGGTTGAGAACCACAAAGATTGTATAGTCAAACTCCAGCACTGTGCAAATAGACTGTAACTAAATGAAATGGCTAGCAAAAAATTATACATGTAGCTTTCTGTACATGTAATTTATTAAACTCTTGATTTAGTGAAAAGTAAGATACTCCACTTGTAATTTTTTTTTCCTATGACTACAGTGAGCTGTTACCCTTTAGTAAAAAAAAATAGTGTGTGTACCTTTGTAGGCAGGTGCACATTAAGAGGGATGTGTCTCTGTGTGTGTGTGTGTATTTAAGTCTGTGTGTGTGTGTGTGTACTTAAGTCTCTCCTCTCGTGTATATGTGTGTGTGTGTGTGTGTGTGTGTGTGTGTGTGTGTGTGTGTGTGTGTGTATTTAACTGTGTGTGTGTGTTTGTGTGCGTGCGCACTCGTGCAGGAAAGAAGTCAACCTCAGATATCATTTCTCAGAAGCCATCCACTCACCCCTTTCTTTTCCTTCCTTCCTTCATCCCTTCGTTTCTTCCCCTCTTTCTCTTTTTTTCCCCCCTGTGGGACCTGAGACTCAACAATTAGACAAGACAGGCTAGCCAGCATGCTGCAGATAGCCTCCTGTCTCCACTTCCTAGTGCTGAAATTATAGGCATGAGTCACACCTGCTCTTTACATGTGCGGGTGCTGGGTATTGAACTCAGGTCCTCATGCTTGTGTGGCAAGCCCTTTTATCAACTCAGCCGCCACCCCGGCTCAACTTGCTATACTTTATCCTTTTTCTGTGAACAGTCCTTTTATCCACAACCAGAGAATGATAGTTTCCACCACACTGCCCTGTAACTGTTGCTGAGTAAATTAGCTTTGCAAGTGGTGTTTAGAGTATATTGCATTTCCAGAAATACGTTTTTCCTCTAAGTTGGGAGAAGCATCTCTTTATTGTGCTATATCCATTCAGTTGTAATATACGTTGCATTCATTACATTAGTGGATAGGCTTGTGCTATGTGAGCTCATTGAGAATCTTTTCTGGGAGCCAGAGTTGCACGTACACCCACTCACATATACCCAAGCATGTTTGTCTCAAACTGTCCTCCAAAGCCTCTCCTTGTTCGTGGGTGTGCTGTACTCTTCCCACCAGCTCCGTGATGGAGAGGAGAGTACAGCACACAGCCCGTGAGTGAAAACATCATGTCCTTGAAAACAGCCAGAAGAGAAATGACTACCACTAGTGGCTACTGTTGTTTATCCCGTGGAAGTGCCTGCAGTGGGAGATAGAAGACTGAGGTGCCGTCGTGGAGAGAAAGCTCACCAGCTGATTCCGACTTTCAGACAGCTTCTGCTGAGTGTTCTAAGCACCTGATTTTGATGATGTTCTCTGTGTGTTGCTTTGCATTCTTTTACTGGGAAATCTCACCAAGGAGACATCCTGATCGCTCTATCCAGGACTCCAAGCGCTGCCTTCCACAGGGTGTTTCTGCTGGGTGTTAGTGAGCTCCCAGTTTGATGATGCTACTTCTCTGCAGTTATTTCTTCTTCTTTTACTGTGACATCCTGCTTGGCTCCGGATTCTCTATTGGGATCCCCCCCCCCCTCGGGCCTAGCTCTAACTGTGGCTAACATATTTGCCTATAATAACCACAGAAACAAAACTGTCTTCTATTTTAGGAATATTTTTCCCTGTATTTGAAGGCCATCGGTGCATCTCACTCCATTACCCAGCATGGAATTATCCAGGCCTGTGGTCACTGATGGAAACTAACTAGCAGTGTTACCTTGTGCGTCACCACTGTAAGTATCAATAAAACAAAATCATTATTTTCATATATACAACACCAAAATGTGCTTCGCATGTCTGTGCAGAACCACCCCATCTATACAGAACCAATGTGTAGATTAATGCAAAAATAATTTAACTTTTCAGCTGTTTTCAAGGACATAATGTTTTCCCTCTTGGGCCTGTTTGCTATACTTTCTGTCATAAAGCTGGGGCAAGGGTGCAGCCCATCTCAGACAAGAGCCTTTGGAGGACACTTGAGACAAACATACTTTGGTTTGAAAAGGCAGGGGTGTTGTATGTGCAACCCTGGCTTCCAGTGATTCTCACTGAGCTCAGATCCTCAGTGAGCTCACATAGCACTTGGCAGTCTACTAAAATGAGACTTTTAACAGAAACCATTGTTCCCCACAGGGCCAAATTCTCACTTTAAACAATTGGGCAGATGCTATTATTTTCACGCCCTAGATCGTCCTAATCTTTTCCATGCCATTGCATAAAAAAATAATCACAGCACTCCGAAGCAAAGACAGGCAGATCTCTGTGAGTTCCAGGACAGCCTTGTCTACAAAGTGAGTTCTAGGACAGCAAGAGCTGTTACACACAGAGACTCTGTCTTTAAAAACCAAACCAACCAACCAACCAACCAAAAAAACAAAAAACAAAAAAAAAACAAAAAAGCCCAACTAGTATTTGTAGGACCCAAACTGTACACTACATCAGTCCATCTCAAGTTGTCATTGTCACACAATCTCAGGGTTGTGACTGGACAAACTAGTCCACATGATCCGTCAAAGAGGGAAACTGAATCTTAGGGCCTCTGAGATTGGCTGCTGTTAATATTTTTGCTTTGTTATTATTGTTGGTCTCATGCACCCCTGGCTAGTTTAGAACTCGATATATAGCAGAGAATGTTTGAGCATCTGCCTCCACTTACTTACCAAGTGAAGGAATTGCATGCCTGCACCAGCAAGCTGGGTTGCTTTTTTTTTTCTTTTCTTTTTTTTATGACACATTTACTTTCGCATCTGTGCGTGAAGGTCAAAGAGGTCAAAGGACACCTTGCTTGAGTTGGTTCTCTTTCACATCATGTAAATCCTGGGGCCGAACTCAGCTTGCCAGACTTGTGCTCTAGCACCTCCCTTTCTCTATTAATATTTAAAGAGAAGACGGCATACATAGCGATGCGTTTCATGACCACGCCTCCCTCTCCTCCGCATTCCTCTCGGTAGCCCCGTGCGCTCTCCTGGGGGCTTCTCAGGCAGTTTGCAGTTCGGGCATCAGCATCACCACTGTTCTCTGACCTCAGGGGCCAGGCACTGTGACACAAGCCGCAGCGCCGGCGTCACTGACCTGAGCTGGCCAGCCTGGCTCCC